TTCTCATCCAGGATACTTTCAGATGGCTAGTCGGTGTGACATCCTTCAACCAGCACAGAAGCATTGGATAACATACTTTAAAACAAATATGGAAATACAGAGGGATCCCCTGTCAATCTTAAATAGCTGCTCAGGAGCTACCAGGAACCAGTTATATCAGCCTGACCTAATTTTCTCCTTTTGCTGGAATGAGATATGGGAAATTCTTAAGGAAATAGTCACTTTGAAAGTCCTACCTCCGCTGGAGGACAATCGGATCTGGTACAGTTTACATATTGTTTCTTTCAGTGCAGGGACGACTGTTGTTTTTTGGAAGGAGCCTTGTGATTACTGTGTATGATCCCATCGTGAGAACTTTCCCACCCTTCTCAGCGGTGTACACTAGAGCTGTTGGCAGGAAGCCGAATTCTGCCCGTCTTCTCACTTATTTTGTCTAGAATGGAGCCTACTAGTGTGCTCACAACTCCTGGCTTGTGAATGATAGGTTTCACTCTACGGAGTTTTCCAGAAGTCCAATGCCACGTACAAATGAGGAGTAATGTGCAACTATTCAGGAGAGGTGAAAGACTCCAAGCATCATGGGATTTGGTTAGGCTGGGATCTTCTTTTTGTGAGCAGTGTAAGTGGATGTGAGCAGGATCCCAGGGAAGAGTGGAGGCATTTGTAGTATGTTATAAATGCAATGACTGAATCCTAAGCAGTAGAAGTGTGTCAAATGCAGGCACTGTGAAGTCACCTGTGGTGGACACAGGGTGTCCTTAACAGCAGTTTAATGAGGGCTTTAAGATACTACAGCTGAGCTTGGATGTTTAGTTCTGAAGATCAATCATCCCATTCTCCAAATCTGGCTTCTTTCTCTTACAGTGTCTCTCATGATGTTGCCAGTGGTGGTGTCTGCTCTTGTCATTGCTGAACTGAGTTTTGTGAAGGGTGTTTGAGAGTTGCAGCCTTTTCCTTTGCCTGTGGAAATACATTTCTTCCAGCACTGCTTATGTGAGAGACTATCCTTTATTCTTTGTGTCTTCCTGGTGTCCTTAGAAAATAGCAGTTGGCTGTGCGCTAAGATTTGTTCCTGGCCTCTCTCTTCCATTCCAGTGACTGATGTATTCTTAAAACTAGTGTTGCTTTGTAATGTTCTTGGAAGTGTGGCATAGCTAACTGTTTTTCTTTCTCGGAGTTAATGTGGCCTGTGGGGTTGCCGTCTACATTCTTGTGAACTAGTCGGAAGTTCTACAGTTGGGTGTGCTCCGTTATGCAGTTGCCCAACTGTGACTGAGAGAGGTAAAGTGTTCCAGCTGTCTCTGTGGATATTTGTTGGAGAGGAGAGTACTGTCGATGCTAATAATAACTCTTTATTTATATGCAGTAACTATTTTCCCTTTTCAGTTTAAATTTCTATTTTCGAGACTTTCACATATGAGTAATATATTTATTTCATTTCTATCTCTCTTTCTCCCCACTCCAACTTCTTCCATCCTCCCACCCCCTCTCAAATTCATGACCGCTTATCCTTTAATTGTTATTGTTTTATGCACACATGTACACTCTACTGGGTCTTTTTAGTGTTCTTTGCATATATGTAGTAAACAAACCTTTTCATGCTTATTTTTGCTTTAAATAAACAAGATGTTGGATGCTGGAGAAATTTAAAGCTCCAGTAGAGAGCTGATAGACCCTTTCCTGGATCCTGGCTTCCGTGAGCAGAGGACAATCAGCAAAGCTGGCACTCAGTGACCACGGGTCAGACTTCCCTCATGGCAGCTCAGCTGTTCTGAACACACTGCAGATGCTTCCAGGAGTCCATACCACCATTCCTGCTGCTTATTCCAGGCTTATTTCTTTTAAGAACCTTAAACTAGATTTTGTATTTTTGTCATCACAAGCCTTGGAAAAATCTACCAATCACTTTCACTCAGAGCAGAAGGAATGAACTTCCCTTGGTCACCCCCTAGAAGGGTAGTTGTAGCCTGCTGCTTTCTGCTCCCTACTTCAGCTTGCTGCCTTCTGCTCCCCACTGCAGCCTGCTGCTGCCTCCCACTGCTGCTCACTGGTGCTGGAAGCTAAAAATTGCATAGGCATGAAGTGCCGGGGCCACTGGTAGTTAAAACCCAGGGCACTGAGATTCCAATCTATAGCAATAAGGTCAGATTCTTTTTTCACGATTTTTATTAAAAATAGTTTTTTTCTCACATAATATATCCTTCTTATGATTTCCCCTTCTTCTGCTCCTCCCCATTCTTCTCCACCTCCCCTCCCATCCAGATCCACTGTGCCCTTTCTGTCTCCCTTTAGAAAACAAACAGGCTTCTCAGGGATAATAATAAAAAACAACATAATATAATAAGATAAAACAAAAACTAACTCACCAGAATAAAATAAAACAGATAGATAGAAGGGAAAGAGTGCAAGGTGCAAGAAACAGAGACAGACACAGAAGCCACACTCAGGAATCATATAAAAACACTAAATTGGAAGTCATAATATATATGCAAAGAACCTGTAGGGTAAGAAAATAGACAAATATATATTGACAATATAAAGTTAAAATTGACAATAAGATTTAAAAAATTCTCTGACACGACATTAGGAATCGAAGAACCTCCAAAGACGGCACTGAGTTCATTCTCTGCCGGCCATCTACTGCTGGACACGCAGCCTCCCTTGACAGTGGTTGTTTCCACAGAGAGACTCCCTTGGAGAGAACTCAATTTTCATTTGCAAGTGGTTATTAATTGAAGATGGCTTCTAGGTGGCCCCCATCCCTAACCCAGAAGCCATAGGTTGACTTCTGAAGCCTGGAGTCCTTAGGTTTTAGGGTTTGGGGCTCTATGGTTCTGGGTCTGTCCATTTAGTCCCTGGCTTCTCCCGAGTGTTGCCAGCCCTGGGTAGAGCATCTAGCTGACAGCAGAAATGCTGAAAATAAAATTTCATGCCTCTGCTTCAAAATTATCCAAGTTTTTATTCATTAAAATGATCATTAGTGATGTAAGTAAGGCTCTGAGCTTTATCATATTGAATACCTTGGCTCATTGTTCATTTGTTTATCATATTAGAAGTAGCGCTAAGCTTTGCTGATTGAAAGTGTATTAGTTGGAGGGTGGAGACAGGGCTCAGTGGTTAAGAGCACTTGTTGCTTTTACAGAGGACCTGGGTTCAATTCCCAGCACCCACAGTCACCTGTCATTCTGGCTCTAGGGGATTCAGTGCCCTCTTCTGAACTCTGTGGGCATCAGTCATATATAGCATACTTACAGAAATACATGCAGACAAAACACACATACACACAAAATTAAAAAACGAAAAGTGGTATTTACATATGCCACAATATAAAATCATTGTTAGAAGTATACAATGGGAGTGAACAAAAACCCTGTGCCACTAAGTGAGGAACAATTGTGTATATCAGACATGGTGCCAGGGTTAGAAATGTATTCATTCATTCATTCATTTTCATCCAATCAGTTAGTCAATAAGATCGTTGTTTTCCAGTTTCTGCAGTGAATGTTGGACATCACAATGCCAAGTGAACTGAGCACCCTAATTTGCACAAGTTAACTGCTAATTATGAAGGCAGAGCAGGTTTAACAGAAAGCACAAACAAATGTTTGTAATATACATGATGCATTATTTCGCCACCATCCAAATTGCTTGGAGCAAACTATTTTCTTCATTTTACTTTTTTTTACTTTAGGTTACTAAGCTCAGACTCCCAGAAGTGAGTATTTCAGAGTAGGAGGCCCAGCTGGTCCATGCTAGGGCTGTTCTCTGGGGCCATGATACAGACCTAAAGGCATTGAGTTCAGCATTGACCCATCGATGGTAAGATTCCACGTTGCTAAACTTGACACAAGAGGGACTAGTTAGGTTCACAGAATCACCTCATACTAGTTGTAGGCTAGACTTTGGAATGGCACTCTGTTTCTCTCTCCTCGGCAAGCTTTCATAGAACCTTATATTTTTATAAGAAGCGCCCATCTTTTGAGGAGAGCGATCATCTATTCCTCTCACACCTCCACCACCCACCGGTGCGTTAGCGGTTAATCTGCAGGCTTAGAGGAAATTAGCTTTCATGAACTCTAAAAAGGTAAATGCACATGTTGCTCTGAAGAAAGTTTATTCAACAGCCATGGTGCACCTTGAATGAAAGCAGCATTCACTTTGGCATCCTCAGTGCCATAAAGACATAAAAATGTTTATTCATTATTTGTTATTTCTGTGATATACGCTAATACTTATTTTTATATTTAGCTTGTCCTCTACCACAGAGGAGCTCCTAGAGAGACAAAGATGTGTGGCATGAATGTCATCAAGTGAACAGGAGGAACTAGAAGGAAATAGTTTCAGAAAGGGCTTGGGTAGAGAGGAGAAAATGGCTTTTTCTATGGAGTTGAATTACGGACATTTTTAGTTGAAGAAGCAGCGTCAAGGGAGGCCATCCTTCTTACTAATCATAAGGAACACATTTCTTTGTATTTTCCCCTCAAAGAAAGGAAACTGCTTCTCAGTCTTCTGTGACAGATGGCAGATACTGCAAGTGGAGCTTCTATCCATGGTGCAGAAGGCGGCAAATGAGGACCCAAGGGTCAAAATTGTAATTGCCACCTGGCTGAGCCTGGTTTCAAATCTGAAATGAGCTAACAAATAGGCCAAAAGAAGGAACCAAAGATAACAACATAGAATACTTATGGTATGACGTAGACCTTAGATTTTCAAAGCACTTCCTTACTCTGGAATAAGAAAGTTTGGGTCCATAAGACTGAAGGGCCAGGCTAAAGTCTTGGAACAATTAGCCGAGCTATAGTTCAAATAAAGATGACATCGTTCCCAATCCAGAGAGGTTCATTTTATAGAAAAGTAAGAATAAAAGCCTGAATAAAACAGAATTGAGTGATAAAACAGATGATTTAGGGATGATGGAAGAATGCTCTGAACAATGTCTTAATGCATTTTCTTCAACAGATACTCTGAATTGTATTCCGTTGTTGTACGGGTCAAAGGCTATGGGAGACTTCAATGCCAGTTTGGGCAAAGGCTTCATTTTGGTGGGCTTCTCTGACTGGCCTCAACTGGAACTCATTCTTTTTATCTACGTTTTGATTTTCTACTCCTTAACTCTCTTTGGCAACACCACCATCATTGCCTTGTCACACGTGGACCTCCGATTGCACACTCCCATGTACTTTTTCCTCTCCCACCTCTCCTTCCTGGACCTCTGCTACACTACCAGCACTGTACCCCAGCTCCTGATCAATATTGAGGGACACGACCACACCATCACATACGGAAGGTGTGTGGCTCAGCTCTTCAGTGTCCTTGCCCTGGGCTCCACGGAAAGTATGCTTCTCGTGGTGATGGCCTTTGACCGCTACGCTGCCGTGTGCCGTCCGCTCCTGTACACCACCATTATGCATCCACTTCTGTGCCAGGCGCTGGCCATCTCATCATGGGTAGCGGGCCTTGTCAACTCTCTGATTCAGACAGGCCTCATGATGGCCATGCCTCTCTGTGGCTATCGACTGAATCACTTCTTCTGTGAGATGCCCGTGTTCCTCAAGTTGGCTTGCAAGAACACAGCTGGAACAGAGGCCAAGATGTTTGTGGCCAGAGCCATAATCTTGGTTTTCCCCGCCACACTGATTCTAGGATCTTATGCACACATTGCTAGGGCTGTGTTAAAAGTCAAGTCAATATCTGGCCGCAGAAAAGCTTTTGGGACTTGTGGGTCCCACCTCCTGGTGGTTTCTATGTTTTATGGCTCAACCATCTATACATACTTGCAACCAAATGACAGTTATTCTGAGAACGAGGGCAAGTTTGTTGCCCTTTTTTATACCATAGTCACTCCCATGCTCAACCCTCTGATTTACACCCTGAGGAACAAGGATGTGAAGGGGGCTCTGTGGAAGGTGCTCGGGAGAGGCACAGAATCAAGGTAGTAAAAAGCATTTTCTTTCTGTGATGGCTCCAGGATAATCGAGCCCATTGGTCTCTAGAAAACAATCCTTATGGGCTTGTTGGAGGACAAAAGTTTCACTGGAAAAGAGAGGGAGATGGACAAAGATAACAAAGGGTAAAAATGATCAAAATTCAGTACATGGATTTATGAAGTTGTCAAAAATAATAAATACATTGTCAGTAGGCAGCAAGACTTGGTGCTTTTCTTGTGGGAAGCTGGGAGTGAGGCGCTCCTGCAGTGCCTTTTAGGTCACTCTCTGGTCACTGCTCAGCAGTGGCTAAGTGCTGATTGCATCACAACTTTTCCAAAACACAAATACAAGTTGGAAAAGAGCACGCAGTGAGCAGTTATGGAGACTCAGGTTTGGAGTGAAAGAATCGATTCTTTTTTTAAAAGTCATACTTTTTGTTGTTTTTATTGAGCTATATATTTTTCTCTGCTCCTCTCCCTTCCTCCTCAAACCCCTTCTACCCTTTCCTACGAGCCCCTTGGTCCCAATTCACTCAGGAGATCTCGTTTTCTTCTAGATTAGATTCATGTGTGTCTCTCTGAGGATCATCTTTGTTCTCTAGATTCTCTAGGTTTGTGAATTGTAGAATTCTTTTACTTTGCTTTGTATCTAAAAGCCACTTATGAGTGAGTACATATGATATTTCTCTTTCTGGGTCTGGGTTACCTCACTCAATATGAAGTTTTCTAGATAGATCCATCCATTTGCCTGCAAATTTCAAGGTGTCATTATGTTTTTTTTCCACTGTGAAGTATTTCATTGTGTAAATGTACCACATTTTCTTTATCCGTTCTTTGGTTGAGGAGCATCTAGGTTGTTTCTAGGTACTGGCTATTACAAATAATGCTGATACGAACATAGTTGAGCACCTGTTCTTGTGGCATAATTGAGCATCCTTTGGGTATATACCCAAAAGTGGTATTGCTAGGTCTTGAGGTCTGTTGTTTTCTAATTTTCTGAGAAAATGCCATAATGATTTCCAAAGCATCTGTACCAGCTTGCATTCCCACCAGCAATGCAGTAGTGTTCTGTTTACCCCACATCCTCTCCAGCATAAATTGTCATCAGTGTTTTTGATCTTGGTCATTCTCACAGGTGTAAGATGGAATCTCAGAGTTGTTTTAATTTGCATTTCTCTGGTGGCTAAGGATGTCGAGCATTTCCTTAAGTCTTTCGGTCATTTTAGGTTCGTCTGTCGAGAGTTTTCTGTTTAGGTCTGTACCCCAGTTTTTGTTGGATTATTTGTTCTTTTGATGACCAATTCCTTGAGTTCTTTGTATATTATGGAGATTAGCCCTATGTTTGATGTGGGGGGTTGGTGAAGATCTTTTCCCATTCTGTAGGCTGCCATTTTGTCTTGTTGACTGTGTTCTTTGCTTTACAGAAACTTTTCAGTTTCAGGAGGTCCCATTTATTAATTGTTGCTCTGAGTGTCTGTGCTATTGGGGATATACTTAGCAAGTGTTTGCCTGTGCCAATGTGTTCAAATGTACTCCCCACTTTCTCTTCTATGAGGTTCAGTGTGATTAGTTTTATGTTGAGGTCTTTGATCTATTTGGACTTGAGTTTTGTGCATTACAATAGAGATGGATATATTTTCATTCTTCTACATGTTGATATCCGGTTATGTCAAAACCATTTGTTGAATATGCTTTCTTTTTTTCCATTTCACATTTTTTTGCTTCTTTTCAAAAATCACGTTCATAGGTGTGTGGATTGATATCCAGGTTTTCAATATGATTCCATTGGTCCTCTTGTTTCTGTGCCAATACCAGTCTGTTTTCATTACTGTAGCTCTGTAGTAGAGTTTGAAATCAGGGATTGTGATGCCCCAGAAGTTCCTTTATTGTACAGGATTGCTTAGAAATAGTAATTAAAAGTCTCCCAACAAAAAAAGCCCAGGACCAGATGGTTTTAGAGCAGAACTCTACAAGATTTCCAAAGAAGAACTAATACCAATACTCCTCAAATTGCTCCAGACAATAGAAACAGTAGGAATATTACCAAACTCTTTTTACAAGGCTACAGTTACCCTGATACCCAAACTGCAGAAAGACATTACTAGAAAAGATAATTGCAGATCAATATCATGTATGAACATTGATGTAAAAATACTGGCAAGCTGACTCCAAGAACACATCAGAAAAATCATCCACCATGACCAAGTAGGCTTCATTCCAGAGATGATAGGATGGTTCAACATACAAAAATTTGTCAATTTAATCCACAATATAAACAAACTGAAAGCAAAAAACCACATGATCATCTCATTAGATGCTGAAAAATCCTTCAACAAAATCCAACACTTCTTCATGATAAAGGTCTTGGAGAGAGGAGAAATACAAGAAGCATGCCTAAACATAATAAAGGCAATACACAGCACACCAACATTCATCATCAAACTAAATGGAGAGAGGCTCAAAGTGATACCATTGAACTCAGGAACAAGACCAAGTTGTCCACTCTCTCCATATCTATTCAATATAGTACTTGAGGTTCCAGCTAGAGCAATATGACAAAAAAGGAAATCAAGGGAATACAAATTAGAAAAAAAGTCAAACTCTCACTGTGTGCTGATAATATGATAGTTTACATAAGTGATCCCAAAATCTCTACTAAGGAATTCCTACAACTCATAAACACCTTAAATAATGTAGCAGGATACAAGATTAACTAAAAAAAAAAAATCAGTAGCCCTCCTTTATACAGATGTTAAACGGGCCAAGAAAGAAATCAGAGAAACACCACCCTTCACAATAGCCACAAATAACATAAAATATCTTGGAGTAATTCTAACCAAACAAGTGAAAGACTTATATCACAAGAACTTTAAAACTTTCAAGAAAGAAATTGAAGAAGACAGAAGAAAATGGAAAGATCTTCCATGCTCTTGGTTAGGTAGAATTATGATAGTAAAAATGGCAATCTTACCAAAAGCAATCTACAGTTTCAATGCAATGCCCATCAAAATCCCAGAAAAATTCTTCACAGACCTCAAAAAGAATAATATTCAACTTCATGTGAGAAAAGAAAAAAAACCAGGAAAGAATTAATTCTAAATGACTCTTTACAAAGTCAGATCCTAATATGCTGTTGAATATTTGACAGTATAATCCAAGGCAGAGTGTTGGGGACCCTTCCCCAACCTCCTTGGTTATGGATGACCCTGGGTTGTGCCACAGAAATCAGGACACAGGGGATGCAGAGTAGGAGATACAACTGCATACTTTATTGCAAGCCAGTGCTCTTTTTATAATACTCAAATCAAGATTCAAACTAAGTTCCCATAATACATGAAAATAGTTTCACAGACTAGTAACTTAGTTGCAAATAATTTCAAGAGCTTCGTGCCCTAGCTAATCTAAACAAAAAGCTCAGTGTTATGGGAAAAACTCTTGTAATATAATATGTAAAAACACCTCATCAGAAGACAAACCACAACCTAATCAGAGCCTTTGAACTACAGTGCACATCTGTGTTCTCAAGGACTGACCATTGGCAAGGCACTCTACTGATGGGAGAGGTTTGCCTCCTCCTGACTTGGTTTGCCAAGCCTGTAAGTGAGAATGCTACCTCAAGTCACCCCTGCACAGAGTTTCTATGCAGTTCAAATCCAGCCCTCTACAGCAGAGGACATGAGTTGTTGGGTTTTTTTTTTGTTTTGTTTTGTCTTTTTCTCATTTTTTTGGTGATCCTGTCACATTCTTGCTATATCAGAGTCCATTTCAAAGGTTTCTTGCAGTGTTTATTGTTCTATGGTACTTGGAGAAAATTATCAGATCATGAACAGATTGTTTTATAGAGTATGTGACTTTCAGACAGGCTCATTTATTTAAGCAGAGAAACTTCAAAATCTTCTTCTAGTGACACACTTCCTCCTGTAAGGCCACACCTCTTAATCCTTTCCAAACAGTTCCGTCAACTTCAGACCATATATCCAAACATATGAACCTAGGCAGCTAAGGCCACACCACACCTTCCCATTGATGACCTTGGTATGTGTGCTGAAAATCCTAGGATTTTGCTCTCACATATACGTAAGCTTACACCTTTCTAGAGCTCTGAGTGGTCAAAGCATCAGCCTTACCTTAATCTTGGTTTCCTTTTCTGAAATGAGCATGATATCAACCACTTTATCAGCACTTGATGTGTCGTGTGTGTACAATAAATGTTAATTTTCATTTCTTGTTCTTGTTGAAGGGAAAATAAAATAGCCTAGAATCTTTTTTCTCAAACACACACATACACACACAAACACACACACATGAGTAGAGAGAGTGATTGTTATCAGATTATAGTATGCACACGTTTGGAATTGTTAATAATTCACAATTGAATAATAAAAATTTTAATATTTAAGTAATATTAAATTGAATAATAAAAATTTAATAATAAAATAATAAATAATTAACTAGACATTTACAATAACTTATATTATAAACTAATGATTTTTATATTATATAATACAGTATGTATTACATAAGATGTAATAATAATGTATAAGAATAAACCAATAGACCTAAAATTGGTAATTGAATATCTTTTATTCTGACCAATCCCAACTGAATGTCATCAATTTTCAAGGAACAAAACAGCCATTCTATTCTAATCCTTTCAGAGAACAGAAAGTAAAAACTACTCAAACTCACTTTCTTGTATAACCTCAGTGAAAAACAAATCAAGAATACTACTGACCAAAATGTAGATCAAGCTATTTTTCAATATAAAAGACTACTGAGCAGAATGTAAGTCGATCTATTTTCAATATAGAAGCAAGGTCCTTGATAAGATGTTAGTAAGTTGAATTCAGATAGATATAAACCAACTTTAAAAACAGTTAAAATGCATTTATCACAACAATGAAATGACATGTCAACATTGGACCTTACGTGCAACTTGTGACACCCATCGACATAGTGATAGATATCACAAAATTACCTGGGGTGGGGAAGGAAAATCCTTTGTGAACA